CTTGTACTGAAGGAAAGAAGTGCCTAGAAGCCTTGGAGAAACAGATGCAGATGCACTGGCTAGATTATGCGGAATGGAGCCTTAACATTCGCTCTTTGGGTTGCGAACAGGGTCAATCTAAAATCTGAGTCTTGGGTCCACCTGTTTGCTTGAAGCTTGTGCCATCTTGCGCAGCTGCTCAGCTGCGGCTCTTGCGACGTCCGCGCGGTCTGCAAGATTGCTTCGATCGGCGCATCCATCGGCTCTCGATACGATTCGTGAGCGGGCACGTGACACGACCGCTGCAAGTCGACGCTGCTCGTCCATTTCAGCTGCCGCAGCCAGCTCGTGTTGCGCTGCGTAAATGTTCTGTGGCAAGCGGGCGCGCTGCAAAAGTGACGGATCCGTGGTCTGCGCAGAAGACAAATCAATGCGCTCTTGAGCTAGAAATTGTAATGCATCCAACTGAAAGTGGCTAGGCATCGACGTGCAATCCAGTGTAAGCAGGCAAGACGTGGAAACCCGCTAAAATCTTACCTCATGTTCGCCCTTATGAGCAACAGGTGAATCGTCCTTCGGAGGAGCAGTGGGCGGCGTTTGAACAGACGGTTTCCCAATCTGTTCTACCCGTTCCTTTGCTCCCTCGTGACCTGACTGACTGCCCCCAATTTTCACGTCTTGGTAAGCATCTCTAGACAAGCTCTGCGGTCCTCCACTTGGCTGCGTACAAACGCAAAACAGACAGCAGTATATAATGCGAAATTCAACGCCTGACGAGAACAGCAACAGAACAGAAAGCACTACATGATGCAACATGCAATGTTTAAGATAAACGGGTACTGCCCACCCAATGTGTATACCATGGTGTCTCTCGTCGCACCCAACATCAGCTTATTTAAAGTCACTTCTGCACCGGAAAAGCATGCCTCCCTATGGAAGAAAATACAAGGAGGGAGTGTCTGCTTCTTACCTCCACTGTATTCGACTTAGGGCCCTGAATTTCACTAGCGGCCCTCGCGGCCTCAATTCTTCGCAGTTGCTCAGCAGCTGCCTGCGCGACATCTGACCTCTGCTCAAAGCATTTCAGCTCAGCTGAGCCTTCTGCCCGAGATATTGTCCTAGAGCTTATCCTTGAGGCCAGGGCAGCTGCTCTCCTCTCATTTTGGGCGGCGAAAACTTCGGCGACGGCCTTCTGCACGGCCGCAGCCCTCGTCGAGGAAGTGGGGCGCGCTGAAGCTTCACGCCCTGCAGTTTTCACATCATTTGTGTCCGTAGCTCCACTTTCAGTTAGATCTCTCTCTCTACGATGAATTCCCTCACTGTTCGGGGCTGTCGACGTTTCAAAACCACTGGAAGAGCTTTTCGTGTCTCCCTGCGCAAGCGAAGGAGCACGCTGGTCCCCTGAGTTTTTGAGTTCATGACTAGCACTTCGTTCTACAACTTCTGTGATGGGTGGCCCTTCCGAGACAAGATTGGTGCCCTGTTGGGCCTCCACAGACTGTACATGCATGTTGACCAAAGACCGCTCCCGGCGAAACACATCAG